CCCCACCAGAGCGGCTCGGCCCCGGCCCCCTCCAGCAAGGACCTCAAATTCGGAATAGACCGCATTTTGTCTGCAGAATTTGACCCGAAAGTCAAAGAAGGCAACACCCTGAGAGGTAGGTCTTGGGGGAGAGGCTGCAGGCCTCCGACCAGGGCCCTGACGCACCCTGGATCCCTGGGCCACTTTGGGGTACACTTTGGGGTGGTTTTTTTTTGTTTTTGTTTTTGTTTTTTTTTACAATTAAGGACAAATTGGTAAAAGGAAGGAGATGAAAGTCAATAGTGAGAAGACTATGAAACACAAGATTTAAAACGCACCTGCTCTAGGGAAGCAAACACACAAACAAACACGCACAAAAGTCTCCAGGGATGACTTAAAAACGCCCTTCACAGAACCAACACGCATAAAGATGGTTGGTGTAAACGTTTGCTAAAAACGACCGTCACCACCTGTGTCTTTAGTCACATATCGAGAGAGAAAAACTGTATTATTGGCCAGGGGAAGTCCTTTTGGGGAACGCTTTCCCCCGCGTATTTATCTGATTTCGAGCGAAATTGCGTCTCAGCTCCCCAGACGAGAGGGCAGAGTAGGGGCTCCTTCCGGGGGAGGGTTTCGGGTGTCAAAAGGCGCCCGAAAGTGACTTCGTTTGGGCGGTTTCAGGTAGAGCCCTCCCCAGCCGCCGCGGCGGGGACACGGACAGACGGCGCGTCTCGCGCGCGCATCGCCCGCCGGCCGCCGTCGGGGGAGAGGGGTTTGGGGAGGAGACGGGGGTCTCTCTCCTTGACTTTGCTCCAGGAAAACTAAATCGAGGGGGTGTGGGGGGGAGAGGAGGGGAGGGGCAAATCGCCCCCCAAGGGTGTGGGTTCGCGCCGAAGGGTAACCGGCTGTTCTCTCGCCTGGTCCCCAGATCTCACGTCCCTGCTGACGGGCGCGCGGCCCGCGGGGCTGCACCTCCCCGGCCTGCAGCCCTCGGCCGGCCAGCTCTTCGCGTCCCTCGATCCCATGAACGAGGCCTCTGCCCTCCTCAGCCCCTTAAGCTCGAACCCGAGAAACGCAGTTCAGCATCAGTTTCAAGACACGTTTCCAGGTACGGACGGGAAACCCGGGGCTGCGCGGTGCAGCCGCGCCCGGCGTTGGTGCGGGAGGCCCCCCGCGTCCCCGGACAGAGAAGCCGAAAGATTTCTCTGCGAGTTTCGCTCTCTGTCCGCAGGACAGGGGTGGGGAGCCTGGGGAGCCCCCAGAAAATATGTG